CAGTCCAACCTGACTTATGCCACTGTTAAAGATTTTAATCCCAAATCTCCTCAGAGAATAATGGTAAGAGACCAAACAAGCATTGCTGGTTCATTATGACTCTAATACCAATGAATGAAAGTAACTACATCTAAGCTGCGGGTTAAAGACTGAGTTAATTCATCTTTTTACTTGTCATTGTAGAACTTAACTTATTACGGTTCCATATTAACCCTTTTTTTGCAGAGGAAATGTATTTTTTTTTCAATATTAACCTGTTAAACATCATGTGAATGTAGGCCAAACTAAACCAGTGTTTTAAATTCTTTATTGGTTTGGAAACATGTTAAATTACCACATACATGTGGAAAGTAAACAGTTTTGGTTTGTTTTTTCAGGTCAAACAAGATGAAGAAACTGTGACTTATTCTGCTGTTAGGACTAAACAGAAGAGAGAAGACATTGATCCTAATAGCCTCTACAGTGAAGTCTCTAAGCCCAAACTAACCAAATAGGAAATTAAATGTCTCATCAAACCTCTACCTTTATTAAACCTGTTACAGGAAGTAGACATTTAAGTTTAGGTTCCGCTGAGGCCAGAATAATAATCTATAAGTTATATTGAAGTTTTGCTATTGTATTTAAGTAATGATGAGGGTTTCGGAGCAGCATTGTACAGTTACTGAGTTATGGAGCTTTGTTACAGTTGTAAATATGTGGAATTTATTAAACTCAAGAGTTTTAAAAGAAATAAAGCCCTTGTAAGTTCTTGTGAGAAAAGATTGTTGTTCTGTCTCCTCTGTACCTGCCTGGACATGACCTTCAAGGTGAGGAGAACATCATTTCATCCAGATTCCGATTAGCATCAAATTTTAAAGCCTAAAATAACCTTTCAGTTCACAGTCAGAGATTATGGAAACCAAACCTCGACACAACAGAAGAATAGTTTCCATCCTAGGTCTTTACCAACACACACAGCAGCAGCTTTTCAATCTGAACTTCAATTGAATTGCATTGAAGGATAATTTAAGGGTTAACAATAAGTAAATAAAAAAATATTCTTCTGACAAGATTTGATTAAACATGTTTGCAACTGTAACAGCTGTATTTTACTGACCCCTTGTGGTAACTCTAAAACATGTCAGCTTACCATGTTCATAGTTAATGGTAAAGTTAACAATTTTTCAATATAGGTAAGGCAGACAAGCTAATTGATAAAACTAAAGCTAACATGTTATTTTACACTAGAGGTATGAATGGGCAGTAAGACCACTATGTGACAAAGATTGGCATGTGGGACAACCAAATAGGAAAATATTTTCCCTGGAACCTTAAAGCCAAAAGAATATCAACAGCTAAATCCTTCATTTCCATAAGGTGGGCTGTTCCTATACATCCTGTCAGGCAAAAGATTGTGGGAAACTGTATAATTGCTATGCATCAGATAAGAACATTGAGAAGTTCCTAAAGTAAATTAACTCATGACAGGAACCATCCTGTTTAATTTTCCTACCTCCTTCCTTACTTCCAGCACTATTCAATAAGCACTTATGGTTGATGGACTTCTTTGGATTAATTGCAGTGCTTGTCCAAGGCATAAGTCAACTAAACAACTAAATCTACCATAAGCACGTAAATCCTTTATGCAAGGCCTCTTTCTACCAACTCCGTCCCATTCTCTCCCTCCCAGAAGCTGAAAAGCTGGTTCATGCATTTGTCTCCTCCAGACTGGACTATTGCAACACACTTCTCATTGGGATCCCTAAGAAGAGTCTGCAGAGGCTTCAGTAAATTCAAAACTTTGCAGCTAGGATCCTAATTAGAGCACAGAAACATGATTACATTACCCCCATTCTCCATTCACTAGACAGGCTTCCCATCTCCACCAGGTTTGAATACAAATTTTCCCTCCTCACACATCAATGCATCCATGGACA